GCAGGGGCAACGTTATATAACTTTTGTTTAGGATATAATTTGCTGCTTGTGCTGATTATTATGGATCACTTAAAAACAAAATATTGGAAGAAAGCTTTCTGTATTATTGAGTTTGTCCTTTTATAAGGACAAAGCAACTCTGATGATTTTCTGATGAGGATTTGAATTGGAAAGGTCATTACTTGCAGTATAGACTTTAAAAGAGACTTTTAAGCAAATTCTGGTTTAAAAGATTACACCCAAGTAGATAAAGAAACATTATTTCTTTATTTCATTTACAAAAGAATCTTTTCCCATCATTATTGAATTTGTTATGGAGAAGACTTTATGAAAGACTTTTGAATGTCCAAATATATAGTATACATGATTAGATTATCTATATCTACTAACTGCTTTGATTCTCTTGAAAAGGTTAATGAGACAAAAAGTATCCTAAAATGAACCATGTTACTCATTTTCATCATGGTTCAAAACCAAAAATAACATTGGTTATTTTACAATCCTTGGAATAGATGCCAAGGATAAATTGTATAGTTTTGCCCGATAGATTTATTTTTAATTTTTTGTTATATTTATAGATTAATCTTTTATTACCTTTATTTATCATTCTTCTTAAAAAGACAGCCCAGACTTGGACATACAATACTGTAATGTACTAGATCCAAAGCGGCAAGTTCAGAAAAAAAAGAACGTATTGTTTCTGCATTTCCTGTCTCAAATATATTTAATGAATGTTTTGATGTCTCAATGTTCTTTGCTCTTCAGTGCACAATTTATTGATTATTTGCATTTTTTTCAATGTTTATGCTCATTTTTATTTTCATTTGGGCACCACTTCAATTTTTGAAAGAAACTTTCTCAGTTTTTAGAGCTCACCTGATTCTTATTTTCCTGGGCTTTTCCTTTTTAAAAGCATATATTCTAACTAAGCCAATTATTTTGGGGGGATGTTAATTATCTCCAAAATATTTGGCCATCTTGGCCATCTCATTTGGCTGATACTGTTGACTCCTCCTTTCATTTTTATTTTTTAGTTAACCTATCCCCTAATTTTATGAAGTTCGCTTTATTAGGCCAAACATGAAGGTGTTGGACTTTGGGGGCAATTGCATATTGGTATATATGTTGAATTTAATAGTGTTATGATCTTCATTTAGTAATTTACCTGTCATGAGCATTATCATGAAGAAGGGTCAAGGATTGACTGATAATGTTGCTGTAAATATTCCATACTGTTCCCATTTTTCTTCTTTCTGCTAGTTTTGTGTTGGCTTATATTAAGGCAATTTCAACTTGGAAAATAAATACATGAATTTGTGGAGCCTTAACTGGGTCCTTATTGCATTTCTGTATTTTATGGTATTAAATTATTTCTATCATACATTTTCTCATTTATTTAAAATGTAATCTAAAATATGATATAGTTTTGAGATGCTAAAGTTCTCTGCTTTCTCTGTTGTTTGGGCTATGACTCAGAGTTAATTTTTGTTGGTATCATAGTCTTTTCAGAGTCTGGCTGAGCATCCAGTCTTTAAATGAAAGGGAATTAAGTTGATAATCCTTGCTTTTCTTTTACAATACAGATAGTCCTTATTTAATATTCAGAACTAGATTTTCTATCACTAAGCATTGTGATTGTAAAGTGCAACATCACATGACTGTGCTGTTTAGCAGTGGCAGTTCTAGCACTTATGGCTGCCATCACTAATTGAATCCTGTGCTGTTGTAAAATGCAACATCACATGGTCCCCATTTGTGACATCTTGCCAACTTCCACATTGACTTTGCACTTTGATGGAAGTGAAGGTTACAAATGGTGAGCAGATGACTGCAAGATATTGCAATATAATTGTGAGTCACTTGCCAAGTACACAGATTGTGATCATGTCACCATAGGGATACTACAATGACTGTAACTATGAGGACTGGTCAAAAATACCCCTCATTGAGTGTTGGCATAACTTTGAATTTTATTAAAAGTCATTAAGCAAGTTCTACCTGAACAAATAGCATATGATTTCTGAGAACTATTTTGATCATAATATGTATAGAAAACGGCTGGATTCTTACATTGTTCTTGTAGTAGGCACCTCCATCTTATAAGGTCCAGAGATTTAAATTGGTTTAGTAATAATTCAGAGTTGACCTCTGATTCTCAGTTTAGGAAAGTAAATCTCTCCCTTTGAGATTGAATAGCAAGAAAAAAAAATCTTAAATAGGAAACTGCTGCTAGTTGTGAGAAAATTAGAATTTAAGATGAAAATTATAGGGTTAGGTTTTTCCACAATTCAGAAAGCAATCCAATACACTCAGATTTCTAGAGAAAGTGAGTTAAAATTAGATGGTATATTTGATGATTCTACTTTGCATGTGCTCAAGCCTCACCTGATTTGTTTCAAGGCAATATGAAGAACTCAAATCCATACTATGAAGCACAGTATGAATTTGGAGCATTTTACCCTAGTGTTTCTTGGTTCACACTTGCTTTTTGTATCCTAAGCCTTTAGGCCTAAAATCCCCCATGATTCCTTTGCTGCTTTGTGGTTTCTCAGCAATTACATATTATTTTATATGGATATTTCTTGTGCCATTTTTTGATTTAGGGAAAGGTTTCATAATCTGTCAGTGTGCTCAGAAGGCTTGGCTTCTGCAGACAGATTCCCGCTGATTATCAGATACATTGGGTCCTAATGTTTCTCAGGTAGCAGAAAGGAGAAAGAATGCTCCTTCTTTTGGTTTTAAACTCATAACTTGGTAGAAGGGTGGAAAAGAAAGTGCTGTAATAAATAATGAAGGCAATAGCTGCTTACATCATTTCTGTCTTAGTAGAGTGGGGCAGACCGAATGGTGAAAGGAAGCTTTACAGTAGTATAAACCAAGAACAAATCATAATAGCTTAGTCCTTAAAATAGGCAAACCAATTTGTTCAATACATAACAAAACCTTAGTAAACATGCAAATGCATCCCATGAATAAGTTTTGACTTACTATGATTTGTACCAGGTTCAAACATAGACCGAAGGCAAACTGGAATAGTTTGGATCAGGGGTTCCCAAACTATAGATTGCAATTCTTTTGGGGGATTGAAAATGGAGTTGAAAATTTTTAATGACTTGTACAGGCAGAGCCATATTTCTTGTTTATGAGCAGAATTGGAAGTTGCAGAGGTTGTAGGGTAGAGGTGCTGCAAAGCAGTAGAAGCAGGGCCTTGGAGCAATGTCAGAGGATTTAGGGGCAGGACTGAGGATGGAAGGGCAGAAAGACCCAGGAGTCTTACAGAAGGGAACTGTGTATTTGTCAGATGCCTCACCAAACTACTATTTTTCTCTGGCCTTTGAGAACATGTGAATGTGTATATTTGCAGATGAATACTTCCTAGATGAGGAAGTGTTTTGATACTTATGATCTGAGTGAAAATTATGATGTGATTTTTGTACAGTATGTATGTATATGTAGGTATGTTACCATTTGTTGATCTCTGAAACTCTCAGCAACATAAGAGGAAAACATTGGGACTTGATTAGTGTTTATAAAGGCATCAAACTGAGAATAAATAAAATATTTAATTTCTGATGTTGTATCTTTTTGAGTAGCAATAAGTGGTGTAATGCTTATACTTGTTGAAGAAAAATGCATTTATATAATCCTAATTTGTGGTTTAGAAAAGTTAAGTATTTTATTATAAGCAGTGGCAGTTTTTCAATTTGATATTTAATTTTTTATTTAATCTTATTTTTTTAACAATGGATACAATTATCATTTCCAGTTTTGCTGTGCCGAGATCTGCTCCTACGGCTTGTATTTGTTGAGTAAGGCATAAGTTAAAATGCTGATTTTTCATAATAAAGCTGTGTTGCTAAGGTCACATTCAGTATATCTCATGTTTGATTCATTGAATTTATTATCAGGAAAATGTGTAAAAATGAGAAGAAAGTCACCCCCCCCAAAAAAGCAGAACAAAAATCTTTTCCCAGTTGAAAATGTATTTAATATTTTGGTTTTGAAATAGTATGAACAGAAGTGAAAATTTAAAAAGAGCACATACTAAAACTAGTTATACCTTTTCTTCATAAAAATCAAGGTGTGTTAATTACAATCAGCTAATTTCAGTGGAAACTAACTTGCAACATCTGCAAGCTATTCAATTGTTTTAATTGGAATTCTGAGAGATTAAAATGTTTGAAGCAGTAGATAAACTCATTTGTGATAATGGAATTTTCATTACATTTGTGTGACAGATTTCATCAGTACAAAAATGACTGACTTGGCTGAAGTTGCCAATTAACTATTTTAGTTCCTGAAAACTTGCCTCCATCAAAAAGTATTGTAAACTCAGTGTAATACAGGTAGTCCCCAAGTTATGATACACAATTGAGCCCAAAATTTATGTTGCTAAGTGAAACATTTAAGTGACTGCCCCATTTTACAACTTTTCTCACCACAGTTATTAAATGCATTGGAAACTCAAAGGTGTCATATATACAGGTAGTCCTCAATTTACAATAGTTCATTTAGTGATCGTTCAAAGTTACAGCACTGAAAAAGTGAAAGTTTTTCACACTTACGACCATTGTAACATCCCCCATGGTCACGTGATCAAAATTCAAATGCTTGGCAACTGGTTCATATTTATGATGGTTGCAGTTTAGAGTTTTAGTTTATTTTCTGTCTTGTGTCCCTTTAATCTCAAGGGATAGAGACTACCATCTATCAATTATACAGTACTTTAATCTTAAGACAGTACCTTGTATTTTTTGATATTAAATCATTCTAGTGAGTAACCTCAAGATCATTTCTCCCTTTCTACATATTTCAAGAATATTTTATTTTTCAGTCTTAAATTTCTTACTGAACAATGACGAATTTTAATTTGTCAACAATATATATGGATTAGCTTCACTTCTTACATGTATTAGTTTTAGATTTTTATTTTTCTGAGTTTCAAAATAAATTCTCCATAGAAAAGTAATTTATGTATCTTTATTTTCTTTAATTAACAGGTATTTTATACTGGACTTTGAGACTGGAATTTTACAGTATTTTGTAAATGAGCAGAGTAAAAACCAGAAGCCTCGAGGAATCTTATCTTTAGCTGGAGCTATAGTTTCTCTCAGTGATGAAGCACCAAACATGTTGGTGGTATATTCTACTAATGGAGAAATGTATAAACTTAGAGGTATAGTATTCTTTAGGGTGTAGTTCCCTTAATAAAATATGATTTTCAAATTATGTTAATTGTGGTAAACACTTTAGCTGATTTGTATAAAATTAAAGTAAGGCTCTGCATTTCCCCTATTAATGTTCATATACAAATTAGTACATTGGCATGAGATTTATATTTGTATTGTAAGAAAATTTATTTAGAATTAAATCTTTCAAGACTGAAAAAGGTATTGAAAGTCTGTTGATTTAATTAAGTGCAAATTAGTCAACTATGAGAATATTTTATAGAATTCCCTGAATTGTACATTTCATATTGTGGGGCATGTTTGTTTACAGAAAGATAGACTTCTTGATCTATCAATATGTATTTAAATTGTAAGTAAGTATTGTGATATATTGGGATTAATTTATATACCTTAGTTTTAAAAGCAAGATAGACAAATCAATTTTCACTCCTCAGAATATCTTAATTTTAGCATGGGCATTTAAGAACAGAAAGTTTTCAAAGCAACAAATTGTTTTTAATATGCTTTTAAACTATGTTACAGATTATTTTGTGTGTGCTTATTTCTAGCTGGTGATACAAAGGAGAGACAGTATTGGGTGACTCAACTTCGATCTTGTGCCAAGTACCACACAGAAAATAATGTGAAGGTAAAAGTTACTGGATGAGAAATAACTTAGTTCCGTGATGTTAGGGGAAGTGAAATAATAATAAAACCCAATTAAATAGTTACGTTTACAGGGTTTCAATATTAATGTTTCACTTCCACAGAATAAAAATGCTGTAATGCTCCCTGTATACTCTCTTGTAATCCCTGTATCATTGTAGACATAATTGTACATAAATTAATTAAATAAAGTTGCTAGAAGTCAAAGATAGCTTAATGGAGGCTTAATAATAATAATCATAATAATACCCATAATAAAAATCATAAATTGGAAGGGACCTTGGAGGTCATTGAGTCCAACCCCCTCCTCAGGCAAGAAACCCTACACCATTTCGGACAAATAGCTGTCTAGTCTCTTCTTAAAAACTTCCAGTGTTGGAGCATTCACCGCTTCTGGAGGCAGGTTGTTCCACTGGTTAATTGTTCTAACTATCAGGAAGTTTCTCTTTAGTTCTAGGACAGGTTCTTGATTAGTTTCCATCCATTGCTTCTTGTCCTGCCTTCAGGTGCTTTGGAGAATAGCTCGACTCCCTCTTTTTTGTGGCAGCCCCTGAGATATTGGAACATTGCTATCATGTCCCCCCTCATCCTTCTCTTCGCGGTGCTGGCTGATGTGCGGGATGATCACTCTCTCCACCGTCCAGTTTTCTCCTGCCGGGGGACCCTCAAAAGTGTTGAAAGCTGCCCTGGAGGGGCAACGAGCGTGAAGAGGACCTCCCATTTGATCCGGGGCAGTTCTTCGAACTGATGGGGAAAAGACCAGCCATTAACATGGCCCATCACTAAGCCACTACCAGCCAAAGCCAAAATTACCAACAAGCACTTTGAAAACACCGCGGAGGAATTGGGTGAGATCTTACCTTCTTTGTACCCCAAGTATTTTCCTGTAAAAAGCTTCTTGAAATTTCTTCCCCCTGTGAGGAGAGAGGGAAGGGAACATCTTCCTCCCACCCTCTAAAATGGCAGCGTCTGACTATCTAGGAGAAATAAAGCCTTGAAAAGAACAACTAAATAATTGGATTTGCATTTTCTTGATATTTGGGGACCCAAAAAGTTCCTACTTTCACGGGGACCTGCTACCTTATCTACTCATAAAAAAGATGGAAAAGAACTTAAATTGGATAAAAACCTAGCCCGGTTTTTGAAAAAGACTTTAAATGCTATCGGGGACATCTTGTGCCGAAGCTTGGTACAGCAGGTGAATATTCTTGACAAAGAGACCTGCTCATAGATCAGATTGGTATTATCTAAAAGAGATAAAAAGCTGAGAGAACAGCTGGGCGGTGAAATTGGTTTCTAGGAATTGTGGAGGTGAACACTTACTGACTCTTGTTTAATAAATAGCCTTCACTAAAGGACCATTTATAACCATGTCAGAAATGGAGGAGGACCAGCAACAAATTTCAGCTAATTATAAACTTATACTTGAAAAAATTCTTGAAGCTACTGAGATAATTAAATCTAGACTGAAAGACAAAGGCGCCAGCTTAAACCTACAAAGTGAAGCCCTGATTGCAACCAAAGAACTTATAATCCAAAAAACAACAGAAGCAGAAGAAATTAATACCAAGACAGAGGATTTTAAAGATCAACAAGTACAGTGTACTGAAAATTTAGACAATCAAACCCTGAATGCAACTAAAGAACCTACAATTCAAAAAACAACAGAAGCAGAAGAAAGTAATACCAAGACGGAGGGCATTAAAGAGCAACAAATACAGCCTACTGAAAATCTAGACCAGTGGTTCTCAACCTGTGGGTCGGGACCCCATTTGGGGTCGAACGACCATTTCACGGAGGTCGCCAAACAAGGCTGTCCGCCATTTTTCCCCCTTTTCTTTGGCCATGCCCCTGGCACCCGGTGATGTATAAGTGGTTGGGGGTCACCACAACATGGGAAACTGTATTATGGGGTCACGGCATTAGAAAGGTTGAGAACCACTGTTCTAGAGTCTCAACATCTTTTTTACATCGTGGTGACCAAGCATATTACAAGTGTGCCCTTACCAAGGCATTGTAAAGTGGTATTAACACTTCATGTGATCTTGATTCTATCCCTCTGAGATATATATTTAATAACAATTTTTTATTGGTTTTCCAGTTTTACATTTGAGTATTTGGAGAGCAACGTGGTGATTGGGTAGTCAATAGTTCAATAATAGAATCTTTAGTACATATCTCAGGTTACATCATCAAAAATTCCTTCTCTATTTCCCTTAACAGTTGCTATATCATATTTAAGCTACTAAATTTCTAATTATATCAAACTCAGTTGAAACATTAATCAATATGTTTTTGCTTATACATATCCATATCCTGTTTTTAAGTTTTACCTAATTTTTAATTGCAGTATTCCAATTTAACCTTTAATATCCATTGTATTTAAATTCGAGTAACCCAAATTTCCTTTATTTCATTACATAAAAGTTATAATAATTAAAATACACATATTACTTACTTAAATATATTCTTATTTTATTTCATAAACATTTTCTATTTCTCATCCTAATACATCACCACTTATTAATGGAGTATCCTTTATTGTCTCAAGTCCATCATCTGTATTATCTGGGCTAAACAATAATTCAAAGCTATTTCCTAATAGTTAATTTTCATTTCCCTTCTAAGTCTCCTTGATATTAAGCCAATTAATCCCTTATTTTTTTAATCATTTTCCAACAATATTTAAGTCTAATAATCAAATTTCCCTTCATCTCAAAATCTCCCTTTAGCCCAGTGGTTCTCAACCTTTTTAATGCCGTGACTCCCAACCGGTCGTAAGTCGAGGACTACTCAACCGGTCGTAAGTTGAGGACTACTCAACTAGTGCAGCACCGTTTGCAGAATGGGACTTTTGGCGGGCTCAGCAGGGCAGAGACAGCCTGGACAATTCCTATTGGCTTTTGAAAGCCAATAGAATTAGACTCTATTCAAGAGAGTCCATTCTATTGGCTTTCAAAAGCCAATAGAATAAAAGGGAGTAGCACAGCTAAGGAAAAGGGGAAAAAATGGCAGACTGCGTTGTTTGGCGACCCCCGTTTGTTCGACCCCAAATGGAGTCATGACCCACAGGTTGAGAACCACTGCTCTAGAAAGAGTACAGAGAAGAGCAACAAAGATGATTAGGGGACTGGAGGCTAAAACATATAAGGAACGGTTGCAGAAATTGGGTATGTCTAGTTTAACGAAGAGAAGGACGAGGGGGGACATGATAGCAGTGTTCCAATATCTCAGGGGTTGCCACAAAGAAGAGGGAGTCAAGCTATTTTCCAAAGCTTGTGAAGGCAGGACAAGAAGCAATGGATGGAAACTAATCAAAGAGAGAAGTAACCTAGAACTAAGGAGAAATTTACTGACAGTTAGAACAATTAACCAGTGGAACAACCTGCCTCCAGAAGCGGTGAATGCTCCAACACTGGAAGTCTTTAAGAAGAGATTGGACAGCCATTTGTCTGAAATGGTATAGGGTCCCTTTCAAGGTCCCTTCCAACTACTATTACTACTACTACTACTACTACTACTACTACTACTACTACTACTACTTATTATTATTGTTGTTGTTGTTGTTGTTGTTATTTGGGTCATCAAATAATGATTTTTATGGATTAATTTCACCTTATGATCAAAGATATTTGATATCCTTTAGATCACAAAAATACTGATAGATGAAATAATTCTTGTTAATTATTAATATTAATTTTACACTTCCTCTTTAGTTCTTTGTATTAACTGAGTTTCAGTGAAATCTTGTTAAATGTATGAAGTAGTTTAAGAGTTTCAGAGCCTGCCAATATGTCAGATCCACATTGAGAAATCAATCAACCATTTTAAGTGGAGTGGATCTGAGGACTTTTGGGCAGCCTAAAATTTTCTTTGCAATTATCCAGAACCTTTAAAAATTCTCCATATCTGCTTTTTTCCCCTTTTTCTGTCTAGGTATTCCCAAACCTCTCCCCCCCCCTTTCCCTGCCTTTTTAAAATTAGAATTATCCAAAATAGTGAATTTCTTTTGAGAACTGGAATCAAGCTACCACCTTCATCCCAGAATTTTCTCTGTAGGTCTTTGAAGCAAGTAAAAGAACTGAATGTTGGCTAAAATTAGAACCAAGTATTTCAAAGCAGTCAAATAATTGCATTGTTGAAATCCTGTTGCTCTTTGCTAATAAGCATTGGGGTATAATAATCATCCAGAGCCCTCCAATTTCTCATGGGAAGTCATTAATAAAAACTCATTAAGGGTGCTATCATACCATATTTTGATTTGCATTTATAAAAAGGATCTTTTGTTTCTATTTAATAGAACTTTTTATGATACATGCAAATCCACAATAACTCTTTAGAATGAGGCACGTAATGAGATAGGATATTTGTGTCTGATGCTTCCCTTCGTTACAATTAAATGTGTGGCAAAATGAATGATATTGGGTGATATTGACTACTCTAATGTATTGGGCAATCCCTTAAAATAACCGGCCACAGTAGAAAGATTCACATCAAGCCATGATGTGGTTTATTTGTTTTGATTTAGCATTATACATGAAATCAGCTCTCATAGGTTTGCATCATTTCATGAGTTAACTAGCCACAGAGCCAGATATAACAAATGCTGGATGTTAAAACTTTTGTTAATATGTGAATGCAGCCTGTCTGCAGGCAATCCATACCATCTATCACTCATGTGTACTTGTATCTGAATTAGGTATCAGTACACATTAAACTGAAGCACAGACTGGTTTATTGAAAGTGGTGGACTCTAAAGAGGGGAGGAGCTATAATCCATTCTTACAGATTTATGCAAATTTAAATATATATGAGACTGGATACAGTAGCAGTTTTTTGGGGGGATATAAACAACAGTAATATATGATTTGTCTGTTGAGGTTTGTCAACCAATTAGGATATCTCTATGATAATGAGGCAGAACTAGATGGACAACGAGGTTATGCAAGAACAAAGGGGCATTCCATAAATAAAGTTTCTTTT